GTTGAAGTGGTAGTGCTAGTGGTATGTGACCAAGTATTTAGTTATCTGTGATCAAATATTTAACTGTGACCTAAAAATTTGACAATATGTGACTGAAAAATAATCTGTGACCAATGAAATTAACTGTGACCTATAATTTTTTGAATTTGTGACCCCGAAATCATTAGTGGCTAATTAATTTGATAATATGTGATCATTAATTGTATAATTGTGACCTAATTAATAAATATTTTTAATTAATTACATAATACCTGAGTTTTGAATTGTTAAACTATTTACTTGACTTTTAAATTGGTGTAAACCATACACCTGAAATATGAATTTTTCCCCAAAATCAACCCACTTTTTTATGTGGACTCCTTTTGTAGGTCACAATTATTTCGTTGGTCACACATTTTAAAATTAATTGGTCACAGATCAAATTTTATGGGTCACACGGTCACATATTTCAAAATTAATTAGTCACGGATCAAATCTTATAGGTCACACGGTCACATATTTCAAAATTAATTGGTCACAGATTTTTTTCAAGGTCACAGATTATATAATTTTTAGGTCACGAATAACAAAATGGTTGGTCACAGATTATATTTTTAGTCAAATTTTGGTCACATGCGCCAAATAGTGGGTCACATACTACCGCCACTTGCGACCCCCTCACCTCGGCACCACCACACAGCACCAACGCCACACCACCACCACAACAACACCAACGAAAGCCGCCACTCCACGGAGCCTCCACTAACAAAACTGTCATCACCCAAACGCCACGACAACCAGTAGTAACACCATCATTTCCAAAACCACCAGATCCACCACCATAGTTATATACTCGCCGCACAAAACACCACCATCACCAAGATCCACCACCACCGCAGCCGCTACATGGTTCGTCCCACTCCACCACCGCAGCCGCAGCCAACAACCACAACCGCCAATTAATTTTTTCGAATCTGATCTACAACAACCACAACCAAACCACATCCCCTATGCCATCTCACACACAAAAACCCGCCACACGGTTGACCACCGCACCCACAGCACAATAGATGAATCAAAAACGAAAAGTGAGGCGACGCTACTGCTGCGCCGCACCCACTGTCGACCAACACACAAAACTATACAACACCTTGGCGAAGATGTGGGGCAGTCGCCGGAGCTTCCTTTGCCCGCAAACATTCGCCTGAGAGATAGCCGATGCTATGTCGTAATGCACAGTGATCGGGACCGGATGAACCTTCATGACGGAGCTATTTCAAGAAATCCGGATCAAAGGGGGGAAAACCCAGATTGTAACTGTGCAAAACTATACAACATATTTCTGGCAAAATCAAGATATTGTATGATTTAATATTTCTGAGCCGCTTCGAGCAGTGAGCACCATTGCGTCTGCTGGTGTCACGCTCACTGCTGTTGCCGCAGGTTCCAGTCCGACGAGAGCTGTTACGAGCGCCACCGCCAGATTCGACCACCTCACAGACCGATGATGCAAGCGATGCTCGGAGGCGTCGCAGTGAGAACCGTCGCCCTCCGCTGTGGTTTCGTCTGCGGCGGGAAGAGCCGGGAAGGAGAGAGGCGACGGGAAGAGAGTGGGAGAGAGAGAGATGAGAGTTGCATTTGATTTCTAGGGTTTGTGTGTGAAATTTGTATATATAATATTTATTTAATATTTAAAATGTCAAATACTTGAGTTTTGATTAAAAACCTTCCCCGCCTGATTATTTAATTTGAAACTTTAAATACCGGCTTCCTTGTAATTTTCCCTAAAGAGGAGCCAAATACAGGCCGATTGGACCGGGCCTTGAGGCTCTGCGCTCGGTCGCCGCTATTGTTGGGTGACCTTAGTTTGAGCGTTATAGAGAATGAAAGTAAGACCATGTTTGGATAGACTATAATCAGAAATGGGAGGATTTTCTTGGAGGTGGCTGGGGATGGACGAATGATGATTACACATTTTGGAAAAATTACAAACAAGGTCCCCAACTTATTTGAAATATAATCTTAAACTCTATAGTAGCCAGTTGGTCTTAAAAGAGGGAAATACATGGAAATGACCTAAATTCAAGGTCATATTTCCAAAATAACCCATTTCACTATTCAACTATATAAACTACCTAAAATACACATAAAAACAATAATTGCACCCAAAGCAATCAATATAAGAAAATAATACAATCA